CTCGGACATACTGTGGACGTGTTGAATTATGGTCTACTTCGTCATTAATTTGAATAATCCATCCCGCCCTCTTTATTTTGGGTTATTCTCCTCATTAAGCGTTAAACATCTACTCCAGTCGTTTCGTGTTCAACTTTGAGGATTGTTTCTTTAGGGCTCGATTCCACTACGAACGCTCAAACTGTTTTTCCTCTGCAAAAAGGTGGTGGCCAATGTGGATTACCCACAATCGACCCCAGTTATGTAATTACGCATGTTAAACGGCCTGGTAACACCTGAAAACCCTTGGAGCTCTTCTTGTGACAGTTGCAATACTCCAAATTGGGGTATGAAACCCTCAGCAGGGAACTTCTATCCACGTATTGTGCTGTGCGGTACCTCAGACACTTTGTGAAAGGACGAGAATTCAGTCTGTTTACCGACCACAAACCTTTTACTTTCCCTGCAAGCTCATCTTCAGACGGGTATTTCTTTCAAGAATCTCGACAACCGAACTGCACCTCGTAGTTTACTCCAGACGTACAAAACATTTCTGAGGTGAACGGTGTGGTAACAGACGCCTTGCCTAGTATAATATCCTTAAACAGTTTCCGAAGGATCGCCATACCAGATTCAACTGGATACACTTACCTCAATTTATTTAGACTATTTCACCCAGTGGCCAGAAGCGGTACCCAGCAGGGACATTACTCTTGGAAAAGTCACACACGCTATCGTCGAACGATCGGTAGCAAACTTCAGATGTCTTTCAACTATCAATACAAACCGTAGACGGCAGTTTGAATCTGCACTTTTCCGTTGTCTGACTACATTATAGGGAATCGCACGATTCTAAAAGGCCGCCCAACGCTTTTATTGGCAGCTTAAAGCTTCACTCTCGGATGCAAACGTTTCACAGCGGACTGACGCTCTTCCATTGGCTTTACTTCTCATTAGCAATGCCGTGAAAGCTGGGGCTGGATAAATTGCAGCACTAGTTTACGGAACGACACTCGGACTTCTGAAAGCATTCATGAATCAATGCATATAAATCTACACTCCTACAGGATCAAGATTACAAAGGCCATGTGTTTAGTTAAACCTGTTTCCATCCAGCAGTAGTCAAATGATAATCTCGTTCAACCTATCCTACAACATAGTACACATGTTTTTGTATGTCACAATCTATTACAACGACCACACGAAACGGCTTACGAAGGACCCTTCAAATTCCTCTTTTGTCAAACCGAATATTATACCATTGGTAAAAACAAAATCAATGGTAAGGTCAGCATCGAACGTCCCAAAGCCACTTATTTACAAGGAAACATTTATTATACTCTCTTTCCCCCCGAATAGTCGAACAACATATGCTTCATTGCTATGATGTTGCCTACGATAATTAACGAAAGGTAATGTTTCCAGGACACTTGAACGACCACTACATGAAGGATACTGTATATGTTTTATTGTTTGCGCTCGCATCCCGTGTCCCACAAAAATATAGCCATATCCTGAATTTCTTTTTATATATAATCGTGTTGAAAACAAAAATGCTGTTTTATTTTAATATGTGCTCATACGTGAATATCATTTTTCATAAGCCAAAGTCAGATAGCATGGTTGCGCCAAAATGATTCACGCCGTCACATGGCATATATCCACAATTATTCTAGTTTTCATGTTTTTCTTCCTTACGCAAGTAAAAGTGTATTTAGACATTCATTTATATTTTCTTCCTTTTTTGGACGGCTGGGAAAGATTAAAACCCGAAAAAGAATATTATGAATCAAAGTTTCTGTTGTACGTATTTTAATTGTTGCACTGAACCGCATAGCCCAATTATATTAAAGAAACGCGAGCAGATGCTTCTGGAGTAGCAAGCTACCAGAAATTTGTTAACCAACTTCAAGCTCGTTAAGTCCTAAATTATGACTGGACACATCTCAGGTTCATCGCTACCTTACGTGGGGTCAAAGAGCAAAAATGGTAAATAAATCTACAGAAAATATGGTTCTGTAAGTCTTCGACTGAAATTCAAACTCAAATTGTCTGCTCTCTAGCTTTGCACACCAGGGCGAAACGAAATTCCAGCTAAGCTGACTGTTTTGAAACCTGATATTGCAGCGCCTGCGAGAATCCTTATTGTTCTGTAATAGCCTGGCTGGCTGATCAAGAGTTCACCCAAAACAGCTAAGCATATATTAAAACAGTATAGTCCAAGTATTCATTCACTACCTTATTTTGTATAGGCGGTCAATCTAATCAGCACAGCAGTTAAGGTAGTTGAAAAAACTTTTTCGGGCTACTTTACTACGTCACATAAAATCTTACAATCTGTTAACGCCTGAGCAACGCGAGTTTCTTAGTAAGCATTCGTGCTTAAACAACTTGCTTATTGCAAGAGAAAATTGAACAGCAGCCAATTTAACAGTTTTTCTGTCTATGTGATATTCATAGATTTTAACAGAGCATTTATTAATAATTCTCACTCAGGTATTATACAGAAGCCCTCAAGCTTTGGAACAACAGGTGCCACATATGAATAGATAAAAACGTCCCCTAAGGCCGAAGACAGAGAGTTAGTGTAAATGGGACACTTTTTGAATGGAACCCTAATGCATTATCTTATGTTCCTTACATTTTCTTCTCTACGTCAACGAATTACTGAGACTGGTGAAGCCATCGTCATTATTATTTACAGACGATGTCAAAATCCGGAGACCAAAAAGTAGTCAGACTGATTATTTTCACGTCCTATTATAGATTCTAACACAATTGAACCTGTTCAGAGGGCGGAAACAAAATTAATAGAGGGTCGTTCCAAACTCCCGAACAATGAGTGCCTAAAAGTCGTGAACCTTTTCTCCCTATCGTGTCGTAGAACTCGGGGTGACCTTAGACCAGCATCCTGCATCGCCGACAACGATTCAGAAGTGATCATCTCTGAGACCATAGCAAAAAGGCCCAAATGCCGCGATCTCAAAATCTTAAAGTGGGATTTCGTTTCTCGCGTCGAGTAATTAATAACTGGAACTCCCTAACAGCTGGAAAACAAGCTGCAAATGTTGACACATGTCCAACAACCTAATGTCCTTATTAAAGACTACCGCAGGCTGAAGACCACAAAATGACTGTGCTACATGCGCTACATGATTGCAAATAGGTTTGGTGTTGCGTTGCCTTTTAGAGGTAGAGAATGAATTAACAAGTATTTATTGTCAGTTCTGACAGTATACATTACTCTCAACATTCATCGCTTGAATGGTCTGCGTGGCTACTTGTTGGCCATAAACTTCTCTTCATCCCAACAACATGTCTTCAGAAAAGGTCAACCTTGTATAACCAACCTGGACAGATGAACAACCATCATTGATCTTATGCGGAAGGTTGACGTCACATGTCCCGACTTCTACAAAGCTTTTGATACGGTCAATCATATATGCCTTATCAATAAGGTCAAACGATAAGGCATCAAACCACTATTAGTTGATTAGCTCACTTCATATCTAAAACATCGACATTTCAAGTTCAGGGTCACATTATTTAAGGATGTGGTGTCTCACAAGGCTCCGCACTAAGGCCTCATTTTTTAGTTTACATGAACGAACTTCGACAGCAGGTATCGTCAGATTTATTACTTTTCGCTGATGTAAAACCTTGGAGAGAGATACGCAACCAGGAGGATAGACGGACACTTCAGGAGGATCTGAATCGACTTCAAAGTTGGGCAGACGACAACAGATTTACCTTTGATACTTTAAAGTGTAAAATAGTTCATCTGAGACGTTTCAAATAACAGCTACAAATTAGATCGATCCTCTCTAGAGGCATCCTCAGTTGAGAAAAATCTAGCAGTGTTGGCAGCCCACTATCTGATGTCCTACGCTAGCTGCGAGAAAAATGCCTTTCAAGCAAACTTTGCATCGGGAGCATTGAGGCTCATTTTTGACCTGTTTGACGGTAGAATTTTCCACATAATCTTCAACAGTTTTATTCGTCCGCACATAGAGTACGGAAGCATAGTATTTCCTTCCTCACTCCAAAAGGATAAGAATATTCTTTAAAGTATCCTACAGCGAGCGGCGAAATCAGTTCGGGGAATCAAACTGAAGCCTAATGAAGAGCGCCTTCAACCACTGAATCTATACCCATTAGACTATAGACGTCTTAGAGGTGACCTAATGATTTACAGCATCCTAGACGCTTTTGGACATCCCCTTAAACACCTACTCAAGTTTAGTTTCAACAAAAACCTTAGCGGTAATACATAGAAGTTGGAGACGCAACACAGCAGAACGGACTGTACACAGACATCCTACCCCTTAATAGTAGTAAAATGATGAAATTCGCCCCTGTATGCGCAGGAGTCCTTTCATAGAAAACTTAACACATTCTTGAGAACGAAAGATAATGTCTTCCTACGACTCGCCATTTTTCCCTTTCCTCTCTTATCGAAAATATATGTATTCCGCTGCTACTAGATACTACCACACAACCCTTAGTGAGAACTAAGCTTTAGTACTGAGTTCAGGCTGCAAGCCCCTGTTTAAAAGGTGACTTGGATATCTTAGAAAAAGCACAGAGGGCAGCTACCCGTGTAATTCCGGAACTCTGAGGTCTACCATACAAAGAGCGGCTTGAAAAGCTGGACCTCTTTACTCTGTCCTATTGCAGACCAAGGGGAGATCTAATTTTGATGTACAAAATACTGAGAAATGGTTTTGGACCTAACTTATCCTGTCTTTTTCTTCCCGTTAGATCCGGAAGTCTCAGAGGAAATATTAGGCGAGTAGAAAAGCCAAGAACGAACAAAATACCCATGACATACAGGTTGTCACGCCGAGTCATCAATACTTGGAACCTGTTACCCGAAGCGTTGATGTCCGCACCTTAAATTGACTCTTTCAAGAGAAGACTGGAGACTCACAGAAGCATACTAGAAAAGGAATAAAATGGCCGTAGGCCGTCTGTCCTAACTACACAAACCAGAATCTGAAATCAGAGAGAGCGCTTACATCAGATCATCCGTTACGTTCTTGTGGCTATGGCGGTTGATGTTCATAAAGAGGTTTCGCCTGCAAAATTTATTGATAGAATAGGTACTGTATTTTCTGATTATGCTGAGCATAGTAGATATAAATAATGAAGACTACATTCGGGAATTATTAAGACCTCCAGATATCAAGGAGGATGTGAAACTAATGCAGGAACGTAGTCGCGTTTCACTCATCTTACGTTCTGCATATTTTCGGAAAGAATTGGAAAAGATCGTGGCATCATCATTAAAATCTGGGTGTCTTAACGCTAATGTTATCGCTCTTAAGCAAATAGTTGAGTATCTGACACCACAAACTCGACTAGGATCTTCTGCTTTCACAAGAGGTACGCCATTGTTTCTACAGTTTTGTGTTGCATGGAAAGTTAGTTTTACACGCAGCTCTTGTATGTACCGTATTTAAGGTATTTATTTTGGACCCTGATTGGATGTTATGTTTGATATGACTGGGAAGTTCCATTCAGTCTTAAGCCAGACTGTCACTACTTAGTAACTCATAAACAAATACCTGATTTGACTGTTTAATATGACAAGCTTTTTACCTGGGACTAATGTGTCAATTAACGGTGAATGTTTATGATTCAGGGGTTGATTTACTAAGTGTAAGACTTAATGAGTTCTCGACTGACCCCAATTTCGCGAATAATTAACCCTGTCTTTATTTTCAGTGTTGTCATTCATGCATGTCTCTTCAAACCAAGAAATATCAAAATACCTAACAACTATAGAGTCACAGCAGAAAGTCGGCAGTATTATCAATCCCGATGAGCGCAACGTTTTTCGAGATCCTGCTTGCAATATGGTATATGTTGGCTCTACTATCCCGATGAAATAAACTTCACGTAATCCTATTTCGTATACTGACCACCGTAGGGTTTTGTCTGAAACTTGTTAGGGCAAGCCTTCTAATCACTTGTTTAGTTATACACAACACAGTGGCACATTTATCTGTCCAAGTTTCTATACCACAAGGCTAGCGTGATAAAATTATCATGTAGTAAAAGTATCATCAGTAAGAAAGATTGGCTGTAGAAGATGCAATACGGAAGAAAGAAAGAAATCTGTGGATCCGAAGAGTCTAAGGTATTTTTAAAATTCAGGATATAAGGGAATGTAAGGAATAACTGCATCTACGCCATTATTACTAATCCTAAGCTATCTCACCCTTAGTTAAAAGACATAAATACGGTCTTAGGTGAAACTGATCACTTTAGACTTATAATTATCACAGACCTCGTAGAAATCATGACGGCGCATTAAGAGTATGAACTATTTGCTTTACCAACTACACTACTACAAAGATCAAAGTATAACCATGGAAATAGTTGCGTTATCCAGTTAACATCGATTCCGACCGTTGCTGCTATCTTGACGTGGTGGTCAGGCTTGCCTATCGCAGTGAATCAGTTGAGCTATACTGGCTGGAACAATCGCTCCTCAAGGTCTCACCATACCAGACAGGTCGCGTGAAGACTGGTAAGAATAAAAGCATCAAACCCAAACACCGAGGGCGAAGTTGTACTGCTGATTGTACAGACGTGTGACTGCAGTAAGGTGTTTCCTTCAGACAACCAGCATAACAGCGATGCTGCCTTCCCACAGAGGAAGGGTGGGGTTAGAAAACGTTGATGCCGGGAATGCACACCTTACCTTACCTCACGGATTTCCGTCTACAGCGGGAAAGTCTCAAGTATGTAGCTAACACAAAATAGTCCTGTGTAACCGGCCTCAAGCAACTGCCCCTTGGGCACCGCGGTCACACTCTCAGGTCACTAAGACCAATTCTAACTCGATTTCGTTTTTCTAGAACTCTTTCACGGTTTGGGCAAATGGTGGTAGATAACTCCCCTCATACCCAGCTCTAATGGGTTGGTGTCTGACGAAATCTCAACACGGATTCGAAAAGCTCGTTTGGCTTTTGTCAACTTACGTCACCTACGACAAAGGTGAGATATCCGTCTATCAATTAAGAGACGAGTATACTGTGCAGCAGTTCGTTCTGTCCCACCATAATTTGCGAAACGTGGCAATTAGGGTTGGGGGATCCTCGTAAGTTACTAGTATTTGACCAAAGATGCCTTAGAAATATTGCTGGCGTCTGTTGGGATAACCGGGTAAGTAATAGTGAGGTTAGACACAGGTTATTAGGGAATGATGGTTAATCAGTTGATGAGGTTGTAAATCTTCATCGACTGAGATTGTTGGGCCATGTGTTACATATGTCTGAACTCCGATTAGCACGACGCGCAATGCTGACTAGTGTTGAAGACGTATGGAAGAAAGTTAGGGGCGTCCAAACTGAAACGTGGCATCAGTCCATAAAGTCACTAATTTCTGGTCTAGGCCATGCAGGTATATGCAGACTACTTGGTTGGGGTCCGCGCGACTATCGCAACAAGTGGTTGGAGACTCTGTGTGACATGGCTCAGTATCGATTACAATGGTGTAAATGTATACGGTCTTTGTCTCCCTAAACTGTGAGATGAAAATCACTGTATACCTCTGTTTCCACGAATTAATTCTTTCTTTCCGTATTATATCCTTATTCACAATCTTTCTTTTATGTATTACTACTATTGAGGTAAATACTTCTGTGAATTTGGTGTTCATTCTGTTGTGCTAATGATGTGTGGTAATGTGGATTGACGCATATGCGTGCTAGGTCCTAAGTTGTAGCTGACTGTCTAAGAGGTCTTTTTCTCCTAATTCACGAACTAGCTTTTTCAATTTTTATTCATGAAATGTTCCGTTTCTGTGGCTTATACTTTTCTTACCTTAATTTTAATATTAGCTTGCCGACCAAGTAGCATGTATACTGCAAAGCAGTCCACTCTGTTCTACTGTATTAGTAAATCTATCGCGCGTTGTGAAATAACCGAGTAGACAATTTTGAGGTTAGGAATAGGATAATTGGCAAATTTTTCAAATCGATTGATAAGGTGGTGAATCTTCAACTAAGGTAATGAGGATATGTGTTACGCATACCTATCCACTCCTTTTCCCTTTACACGATGCTTTTTGGTACTGATGTAGGTTGGAAGAAAGGTAGGGGTTTAGTCTTTTTTTCCTGTCACTGTTACTAGATTATTTTTATCCCTTGTTATTTTCATCTGGTCGTACTAACCATGTATGACAAGTTCTATATTGATGATATATCTAACTCAGCAAATCACTTTTCGTCAGCAGTTCTTAATTTAAAATCAACCTTTAAAAGGGTTTGAGGATAGACACTAATGATTTGCAAATTTTATTTCATAGGTTGTCACTCCTTTTGCCTCTGTTAGAAGTAAAAGAAAGTTTTCAACGTCTCATACTGCAGTTGAATATTGAGTAACCGAACAAATCAATTGTTTTATACATCATTGCCTGTTTATATACCTTTTCTCAACTCTTTTTTCTTGACTTTGATCGCACAAGTCGCTTTTGAAGCAGTTGTTTCAGTAAACAAAATTAGCTAGTCAGCCGCTGTTTTACCTCAGCGTCCTCATTTTTTTCAGGTATATTTTAAATCGTCACTAAATATTATCGTGTAGCATGAAAGTACAAATGTTCGGTAGTAATAGTGTTTTATAGTTGATTAAATCGACTCATTGTTTGAGTTATATTTTATCTAACCTGACAGTTGTACACAAATTTGTTGGTTAGATTGTGGAACTGATATATATTAGAGGTATATAACTTGTGAAATCGGGGATCGGATTCCATTGTACTGTATGCCAATCTTTCAACCAGTAATAATTAGGTCGAATATATCCACGTATACCATACAGCGCCTTTGTACTCATTCATCCAATCAGGTTCAAGATATAATCACATAATAAACCCAATATACTCTACATTATCAAATGAGACTGAAAGTATGTCTTCTGTAATTGTGACTTTAAACAACACAGATGCAAAGTTATCGGTTGGCGAATACTGTTAGTGGTTGCATTGAGTGTTGATCATTTTGTGATATTTATTGTCATCAAAGACAAAAATACGTTTCTGGATTACGTACGATAAAGACCCTTCTTTAGATAATGAAGCATCCTTCATACCTTAAAATTTTAACATTTCTCAAGTTGGTCACTTTAAATATCAAGTGAATGTTAAATCCTTCAATCCAACATGCTCCTTCATAACAAATTTGGGTTTCTATAACGATACCACATGTTCTGAATAACTGACTACAGTAAGTGACATCAGTATGTTGTGAAATTATTGTTAAAACCCTTGGCTCTCAATCACTGAGTTACTTAGTCATCTCACTTAATTTGGGGATTCTAATAGTACTATGATTTACCAAGTACATATAATTGTAATTGTGAGGAATGACAGCACTGTTTGACTGTCTGAACTGAAGTAATTGAGTTCGAGTTTAGACCTACTGTCTATTGTTAAAGGTCGCGTGCTGTAAATACTCGGCCACTGGGACTGCGTAGCGTCACTAACCTTCAGACACTTGTGTCTAAAATCGGAGTACTTGATGAATGAGTCACATTTTCTTATGTAGTGCGCAAGTATCCATTACATTTAAAGCTGTACTTTATTTTCAATTCTCGCAAAAGTTCTTTATGGTTGGTCAACCCATTAATCGAACTTTTACGTCCTCCACGAAGCGCTTATAGTATGTTTCGAAATCAGTTATAGTTACACAAATGTACCCATTTTATGTCCATCCAAACTAAAATGTAAATACTAAGGAGTCAAAATTGTGGCCTAGGGATTTGACGTATTCTCTATGCCAAGTAAAGTGGCTTCAGTCGAATCTTCACTTTTATTTAGTCAGTCAAATAATTACCTTATTGCTATGGTAAGTGAACACCGGTTAGAAAATACTCACAAGAGAAATAGTCTCCCCTTAGGTAATATACGATATTTGTTTGTGACAACTCAGCAAATGAGCTAGCATTATGAACAACCCTCTTCTTATAATTTTTCTCAACTATTACGAGTTTATTTTTTTTTTAAAAACGTAGTGAAACTATAGATCAACAGTAGAGTAAATCATTTTAAAAGGTCAGCGTCAGTTGTGAACTACTCGAACCAAGTTTTAGGTGGACTTATAGTAAGCAAATAATCATTTGGAAAATGTCTTTTGCGCCTGAGATTGTTATGTTGTAAGTAAAAATCAGTTACTAAGCTGCTTTTTTAACATCCAACCAAATACTGAATTACATCGTTTATCTTTATTTTAATTGTTTTACGGAGGACTGTACACTTAGAAATCGTAACTATCGTGTTCTATAAAAGTTGGCCATATTGATAAAGAGATAGTAGCTCTTTCCTCTAAAACGGTGAAAATAAGACTTACTGATACAATATTTGGTATATTATTTTTGATCGGTTATTATTTTTATGGATGTATTTTGGGCATTACATTGCAACAAACTATTTTGTTTCATTTATTATCTTTTTTAATCTTCAGGTGCCACTGTCCCTGTAGTACCAATTAATGATTTACGCGCTGTTCAACTTGGCAGTTACGTTAAAGGGGAACGCCTTATACGATGTAAATTGGCTTCTGTCTACCGATTAGTTGACATCTTTGGTTGGAATACAGGGATCAATAATCATATTACGGTCAGTTATATTACTTGTCATGATCTCCCTTGTATTGCGAACATTGTATGTTTGTGTAAATGTCTGTATTGAGACGAGACGGAATTGAGTCAAAGTCACTACCTCGGGCAGTTACCGTCCTATGTACTGTAGCAATATAAGCTTTCCATAAGCCATCAATTCAACAATTTTTAAAACAGTTCTTTAGGAACTTAAGTGTAGACACAATTATGTAAACAATTTCGTAGGCAATAATCGGTTACAATATTAGTTTTGAAGGACTTTAATGATGTGAAGTATTAGTAGGTATGTTTATGGTCAATCAATTTCTCATCAATAGATCTTTCTTTTAAAAATTAATTTGCTTGCCAAAATATCACCGCTTGTAAAGTAATTATGGTTTTAGAAACTAACGGTTGAGTTGAATTTCTGCCTTCGTAGTGGAATTCCTGTTTATTCTTCCATTCCGTAGCAAAAGCGGTTGAGAAATATGAATATGTCGTTTTGTGTTCTCGACACTAGATTTCCATTTACCGTGTCTCTGACCCAATTACCCACCAATATTCTAATAGACTGATATTGTCACGAGTCCTCACAATTATTGTGGCTCATTTCACATACCATAAATTTGTATTTGTTGAGTCGTGCGGCTTTTTTCGTTTTAAACATGCCAGTTAATAGTCGCAAGCTACAATATTTAGTCTGTCAGTGTACGCTACTTCCGTGACTTTTGATAGATAGTGAAAAAATTGTACATAAAGTGGCTATGAAAGCTGAACATAAAGCAGTTTATTGGATGGACATTTAAGCTGTACTTTGGGCCTTGGGATGATGTCGCAAACTAGTTTTAGTACTACTATATTTTATAAATTGAATAGTTCTGAGATGATATCAAGCTATCTAAAGTTGACATCGAAGATACCTATCGCAAAACATTCTGGTCGTTTTGTTATTTGACTATCGAACGCTTCTTTTTGCTGATGTTTGTATCCGTTGTAATTTTTACGAGATGCTTTATTGGGTGTCACCCATACTTTGTATCATACTTTGTAAGCGACTAGATATCGTATAATAATTGTCTTCAATTTATTATATGGTAGTGAAAGCCACTTGTCAGATGATATCTAATGTGTCTAGAATGATTGAATTAGTTTGAATAATGTCGTATCTGAAATGTTAATATACATAACCATCTGATGTTTAGTCGGAGCTGGTTTTAGACTTGGGCATATAAATTAAATATATTCACTCTTCCAGTTTCGGAATGTAAGGATACTTACCGACACTTGAGTATAGTTGTTTTATTTATTTGCTTTCGACTTTGTTGATAAGTCATTTTAATATCGGTATTTGTCTCTAAAAGGTCTACCAGGGAAGTACATAACCCTTTTGCGTACTATCTACTCTAATATTTTAGATTAAACCAAGGCTTATGGAGAAATGTCTGAGCTGGCTATCTACGTTAAGTGGCGTATGTCAAGGTTGCCCATTATCTCATTTTTTAAAAATTTCATCGTAGATGTCCTTGAAATCATACGCTGTAAAATATGACTCACTGTAGACAATGTAAAATACGACTCAAGAAGCTAAACCATAATAGATTTAGTACTATTGTCTTGTATCTGTTGTAAATAGATATGAGAGTTAAGCGACTTCGTCAATGACTTTAAAATATTTATTGAAGTATCATTAACGATTGATATTATATATATTACGAAGGAATATATGAGTTGTGTTTTCATTTAATCTGTTTAGTTATTGGTAGTTGTTCGAGTAATCTGAATAATCACCTACCAGTCTCCATCGTTTTCTAAGTGAAATATTTATAAACCAAGTTAATAAATGGATTTGATTAGTTTTTTTTTCTATAAGATGTAAATATCTGATCTCATTAAGTTGTCACTCTAAACTTTTATTCTAGGCTCGGGTTTCTCGAGATGCTGACGAATATCTGATCAATCCCATTGGTTTACTGTACAACGAACTAACCGCCTCTTCTCTCGTAAAAATCAACCTTGAAGGTAAATGATATTAATGAATTTTAGACTGATCATTAAACTACTTACAATTTTAAAGTCATTTTCCTACTGTATACTGTGATTCGTTTTACTTAGCCCTTTCAAATATATTTGTGTTTTATATTCTACCTGATTTAAATATGTATTCAGGGGTTATCGTAGGTAATTATGATCAGTAAGTAAAAAAACAAACGGAAAGATGCTGCTAGGCTAAGGCGTTAGGTTAAATTGTTAGTTTGTAAGAAAATCTATAAATACTGGAGAAAATTAGCGTTGGTTTCGTTTTCAAGGCAGGTGTCTCTAGTTATGGACTATGAGAGTTATTGACGACTAATATGTAGAAATATTTTATCAGAATTTTACTCCGCCCAAACCATTTCCCTTGTTTTTACAAAAGTTGTGGGATTTTAATGTCAAAGGTTCACATTCTTCTCGGTTGATTCATAACAGTTTACCGATCGGCACATAACTTATATATCATAAATTATACCTATAATTTTTCAACTTCGTCTGTTCTTTTTTATGTTTGGTTCATTACTACTACTCTTCAACTTTTTTGGACTTAATCTCATTAATTTTCCCTCTCCGCTGATATGAAAGGTAGCAACTTGTACAAACAAGAAACTGTTCTATGTCTTAAACTGTTGACGGCTAGACAGATTTGGAACTATTCTTGCTGCTGGTTACAAACTTAAATTATGCGTGCATCTAGTAAATTTGATTATGTTATAAACTTGAATATGTTATTAATAATATTATGACGTATATATTCACAAATGTGCTTGGTCTGTTAATTTCAAGTATTGATTACCTCGTATATATATATATATATATATATATATATATATATATATATATATATATATATATATATAGTCCCATTTATTGTTATTGTCATCGTAATTCAGTAAAATTAGGTCATTTTCAATTGTTTTTAAATCTGCAAGCTATTTAGCGAACGCAATGTCTTGTTATATATATATAGTAAGTTCACTTATTCTTTGATTTTATTCGTATTTTTTTATTTGTATCAATAATGTACGCTTCTTATATAGTAATAATTTCGACCTCATCTGGAACATCGGTCAGCCAGTCAGCTGCAACGTAGCTGAAACATGGATGTGATTGTGTTGGCCTTTAGTTAAATTAGAAACAACGGTAGATTTATTTATATGTTGAAAGGAAACATTTACACATTTACACAGAATTCGGTAAAGCTCGTTTGTTAGTTCCCCGTCCTAAAACAGTATTTTTTTAAAATGAGCTACGATATGTCCAGTAGATATGGTTATGTATGGTCGGATTCAAATTGATGATCCATAAACACAGCGACCAACTGCTCCGTGTTCTTCTCTGGAACCAAACCCCTAGCAATTCCGAGATTGTGTAGTCATTCTTCTGAAGTCTGGAACTATGGAACGGTTATATTACAGATATGTTTTGTAACTGCTATGTTTGAAGAGATTACGATATCACCTGAACCGGCGGGCGGAACGAAGATCAGCAACACAACAACAGGACAGGGTAAACTATTCCACTACACTCCAGCGCAGCTAACTAGAGAGAGAAAACCAGATTCAGCCGAGAGGAAATGTACATGTATTCCACAAGCAACTCAAAGGCACGAACGAACAAACAAACAATACATGCGTATATATATAGCACAAAAATGTCCCTGGAAAACGTCACAGAATAGCGTACTGAAAAACAAAACGAACCAGTGATACTTAGAGTCCTTCTAAGTAGTTGATACAAACTGCAGGTAAAAGTGGGGCTTTTGGTGTGAAGATGAGAGATTCAAATTTCTGAAATAAAATTACAAAAAATTAGACGTTTACCAAGTGATTTCTGGGGATCTAGCATCACCAACACCGCTTTTTAATAGCGTATGTTCTTAGTGTTCACCTGCATATTTGACCGTTTGTCACTGTTGTCGTAGTGACTACTTTCTGGAACGTAGATCGGTTTTTGTTGTACTTCTTGCGTAGGGACTGCGGGTGGGTTGAAGGTATTCAGCAAAATTTCGAGCGGAAGACTTTTGTTTCTTTATGTGTGATTTGGGGTAAACTGTCTCCTTAGCTGATTCCAATGTCGAATCTACCTGTCTCTTCCCATCTCTACTTCATACACTACTTGGCCTAGCCTTTCGACCACATGTGCTTCAATTCAAAGGTCATAGTTTGGTCTATAATCTTAAGCGAACACCGAACATCCAGCCCTGTACGTTAGCAGCTCCTGTGACTTAGTTTTGAGCAGTGGTGGTCGTTTGGTTCTCAGAAGCATCAGGTTTTGGACCATCCCCAGTCTTCTTCATATGAAGATCTCTGCTCTGAACTTCTGTTCTGATAACGTATCATTTGGTGTCGTTCGATAAACAAATAAGAAATCCTGTAGTAATTCGACTGGCATCCCCTCACTTTTTGACTTGAGTAGGGTCTTCTTAAACGTGTCCACAAGCCTTTCTGCTTGGCCATTTGACTGTAAATGGTAAGGGGGAGAGCGGAACTGATTGATGGCTAGCCGTCGGTAGAATTATTTGAACTGGCTGGAAGTAAACTGCGAACCGTTATCCGATGCAATTAAATCCATTCTCCGTCAAGAGCTGTTGAGTTCTGGTCGTCATTGGTGACACGATGGGGAGGATTTCTTGCTTTTTCAGAAACGCATCAACTACAACTAAATAAGTAGTCCCGTTGATTAGGCCAGCGAAGTTGACATGTATCGTGCACCAAAGTTATTCAGACTGTGGCCATGAAATTGGCGGCACTTTAGCGTTAAATTTCGCCTCTTGTTAACACTGGTAACATTCCGCGTTGTATTCTGTCGAAAGCGAGGCGATAACCTTGTCTCCTACCGCAGAGTGTTCACTGACAAGTGACAAAGCGTCTGCCTGACAGAAATGTTGGGTGGGTCGACAGTAAATGTTGAGATCAAAACTCAATAGTACTAAGGCCCAACGCTGGAGACGATTTGCAGAATGGAATGGAATAACAGATTTTGAACTGAAAATCATAAAAAGAGGCTTGTGGTCTGTTAGAAGAGTAAATCTTTGACCGTATAAGAACTTATGGAAACGATGAACCGCAAAGACAGGGGCCAGTGCCTCTTTCCCTACTTGGCTGTACTTCATTTCTGCCGGAGTTGACGTTCTTGTTGCATACATTTTAGCTTTTTCTGTCCCGCCCGGAAATTGATGTGAGACGACGGCACCAAGTCCAAAAGCTGAAGCAACCCAGCCTCAATGATTGGCATGGGCGATTATACTGAAACAACCGACGATGGATATTAACGGTTAGCTGTTCTCTCGATTATTCAGCAACTTCCGCCTGTAAATAAACATCAGCATGGTCTAACTTTGCGAACTTCCCACCATTCAGTATAATATTTCCAAAACGTCACTGGGTTGTCGTCCATCTGCATTCCGCATCACTAATGATAACTTGAAGTATTTTGTTTTCCCTTTGCAATTAAGATATTTTTAGGTATTCTTTCATTTATTGTTTATAAGCTTTACGGTTCTGTCTGAATAAATTATGCCTGAATATAATTTTTTTCACATCTCTTTTAAAAGGACAAAATTGAGCTAAACCTAGTTATGTCCTATGTACGATACAGGAAGTGTTGTCATCAATGTAGTCATGCTTTCAGATATATGTTCCTATTTTGGATATTTTACAGTAACACCATGTCATGTGTGGCTGTTCTAAAGTTTGTTGCAATAACCCATGTTTTCACATGATTAGTTATACACTTACCTTTACTAATGATAGTTAAAGGGGAGAAGAATATTCAATGGTCATCTAAGATAAGTCAAAGTTTACTTAGTAGCTAATGTGTAAATATTTTTTTCACTTTAGGATCTATTTTGGTTCAAGGATCTGTTGATCTAGGCATCGATAGGCAGAGTTGGATGTTGCATGCAGCTGTTCACAGTGCCAGACCAGATGTCAGATGTATTATTCATCTAAGTACTTCAGCTGCAGTAGCAGTAAGTTTATTTTTGTTCAACAGTTACAAACACTTCACATTTTTATTTCTACATAACTCAACCTTCTAGGAAGTCGAGGTACTTCTTAGCAATCAGCTTAGCAATGGTATATTATGTGAATTCTTTTTTTATAAGAATGGGAATTTCGAATCCGTTAGGTTCCCATGGTAACATAAATAACTACAAAGCGAACACGAAAACTACTACTGTTAGCAAAATATTTACAAACTTAAGTTGTCAGGGTGTTAGATGTTTGCTGTGCAGTCGGTTTTTTTATTGTCATCAGTTATTTGTGCTACTAGTAGTAACTTTTCGTAGACCAAAAAATGCTAGATTCAATTCTATTCTCTTTTCCTATATACATAGGTAAACTGATTCTTGGTAATTGGGTTTATGGACAGGGTTGTACTAGATCATCATGTTTTTATTTGGGGTTCGGTAATAAAATTTTAAATTATGTATGCTAATTAGCGATATTTATTGTGTAATTGTCAAGGAAAGGTTCTGAAACTATAATTGTTGGTCGAACTAAAATTATTTTATTGAAATCATGAACCGATGCAGGTTAAACCACCACTGACAACCTGTAACGACTATTTCATCCTAGTATATAACTCAGTTGTGCACATCCATGATCCCTCAAGCGGGAGTTGTGAACGCCTAACCACTGAAACGCAATCGTGGATGCGCACTATTGAGTAGTCCTATACTAGGACGAAATGGTCGTCCAGTGTTTCCAGGTTTTCAATGTTTGTGTAACCTAGGTGGGTTCATGATTTTAATAAAATCCAAAATCCTCTGCAACTCCTTACTGAAAATCATTTAATCTAAAATACATGAAGTTTCGTACATTTAAATCGGTTCATGATATTCACTTAAATTTGATTGGGTTTTGATTTATATAATCTAATTTACCGAAATTGCACCCAAGAGTATTTTACAATAATTTTCTAAATTTATTTTAATTACACATTATTCTGCTGTCGCGTTTTTTATGTCCTCAGGCAGTTAGTAATGAGCAATGTTGGACCTTGGACAAATATTTATTGGTTCAAGCTGCCACATCACAGCATAACAAGATAGCAGTAATAGTCGTATTCATATTATTAATAGTCATCAAGATTAGAAATATGGTTCAATAAAAACGAATGAAAGTGATATAATGATCTAGGGCTAGTGAAAAATCAGGTGCATTTACACCGCTGACTGATTTTGATCCAACCAGTGATCACGATTATAGTGATTAGGTTAACTAATATTTTATCTAAAATCTGGGAGTTGGACGTAATCCCATCTGACTGGTCACAATCACTGATTGTCCCAATATATAAGAAGGGATCAAAATCATCCTGTGATAACCATAGAGGGGTTAGTTTGGCTAACATAGCATCTAAAATACTGGCCTAAATAAAACTCGTGAACTGCAAACACGAGAAAATCAGGCGTGCTTCAGACCTGGTCGTGGGTGCATCGACCACATATTCACCATTCATCAGGTTCTAGAACATAGGCATACTTATCGGCATCCGACAATGGTAGTCTTTCTTGATATAAAAGCGGCATTTGATTCTGTAGACATCAAGATTCTGTGGCAGTGTCTGCCATTGAAAGGCTTACCTCAGAAGTACATAAACCTTGTGAAGGCTCTTTGCTCGAACGTTACTAGTTGAGTCAGAGTTGATGGCGAACTGTCATCTGACTTCGCAACCTCAAGTGGTGTTCGGCATGACTGTTCGTTATCTCCATTTCTGTTTAACTCCATCATAGACCTACTGCTGGAAAAAACGTTCTCGTCGACTGAAATTTCAGGAATTGATCTCTTACCAGGATGTCCATTTATCGACTTTGAACACACAGATGACAGTCCTGTGCCCAACCACTTTACTCCCTATCATTAGTTTAGTCATTGAAATGGAGCAATCTTGCAACAACATTTTATTTTTAGAAGAGGGCGAAACTCATCCCAAACATGTTTACGTTGTTGCTCAAGGCATTTTAAATGCTCTTCTGACCTTTTTTACTATCATGGTCGATATCAGTCAGTCAGCTACAACGAAGGACCAGGCACATATGTGCATCGGTCCAGGTTGCCATACCTCATTAGCACAGCAAGATGAACACCGGATTCATAGGAGTGGTTAGGTCAAAGGTTGCAATAAGGATATAGTATAGGAAGAAAGAATTAGTTCGTAGACAGAAAGAATGAAGTGATTTTAGTCTCTTAGTTTAAGGGAAGACAGGGAGTGAATACACCGACGCCATTGTGATCGATTCTGAGCCATGTCACCAAGAGTCTCCAACCATTGGTTACGAAAGTCACGCGGACCCCAACCAAGTAGTCTGCATCTACCAACGTGGCTCAGACTAGAAGTTAGTGACTTCAGGCACTGATGCCACGTTTTGGTTTGGTCGCCCCTAACTTTCTTCCAACCATCCCCTACCCCGGTTAGCATTGCACGTCGTGGTAATCGGTGTTCAGGCATACGTAATACGTGGCCCAACCGTCTCAGTCGATGAAGATTCATAACCTCATCAACTGATTTACCATCGTTCCCTAATACCCTGCGTCTAACCTCACTATTACTTACCCGGTGATCCCAGCAGATGCCAGCAATATTTCTAAGGCATCTGTGGTCAAATACTAGTAGCTTACGGGTGTCTTCTACTCTTAGTGGCCATGTTTCGCTGCCGTAAATTAAAACAGAACGAACTGCCGCGCAGTATACTCGTCCTTTTATTGATAGACGCATATCTCGCCTTCGCCAAAGGTGACGCAAGTTGGCAAAAGCCAAACGAGCTTTTCGAATCCGTGCTGAGGTTTCGTCCGATACCAACCCATTAGGGCTGATCAGACTTCCAAGATAAGTGAAGTTGTCAACGCGTTCGACTACTTCACTCCTTATCCTTAGTTCAGGTGTTGACGCAGACCAGTCCTGAAGCAACAACTTGCATTTAGAGGGAGAGAAGCGCATCCCAAACATTCTGCATTGTTGCTTAGTGCTACCAGAAGACTGTGCATATTGTCAGCGTCTTCACCAAACAGGACTATGTCATCTGCGTATTCTAAGTCGATAAGTGGACCTCCTGGAAGGAGATCAATACCCGAGAATTCAGTCGACGAGAGTGTTATTTCCATCAATAGGTCTATGATGAAGTTAAACAAAAATGGAGAAAGTGGACAGCCTTGACGGACACCACTTGAGGTTGCAAAAGTAGATGACAGTTCGCCATAAGCCCTGACTCGACTAGTAGTGTTCGAGTAAAGAGCCTTCACAAGGTTTATGTACTTCTGAGGTACGCCTTTCAATGACAGACACTGCCACAGAGTCTCGCGGTCTACCGAGTCAAATGCTGCTTTTAAGTCGAGAAATACCACCATCGTCGGACGCCGATAGGTATGCCTGTGTTCTAGAACCTGACGAATGGTGAATATGTGGTCGATGCAGCCACAACCAGGTCTAAAGCCAGCTTGGTTCTCTCGAGTTTGTAGTTCACGAGTCTTAGTTAGGCGTTTGATAATTATCGAGGCTAGTATTTTAGATACTATGTTTGTTAAACTAATCCCTCTGTGGTTGTCACAGGATGATTTTGACCCTTTCTTATATATTGGGACGATAAGTGATTGTGACCAGTCAGATGGGATAAAGTCTAATTCCCAGATCTTAGCTAAAATATTAGTCAACTTAATCGCTAAAATTGGACCACCATCCTTAAAGACCTCTGGAGCCAATCCATCTGGACCAGCTGCCCTTCCTCGTTTCAGATTAACTATAGCCTTTTGAACTTCAGCAAGAGTAGGGGGACCTATTTCAATGTTCCATTCACACTGTCTGGGAATGGAGGGTAGTTGTAGAGTAGCTGAAGGCCAGCTGAACTGTTCCCTAAAGTGTTCTGCCCATCGTTCTAAACGCCTGGACTTGGAGCAGATGAGTGTATCGTCTTTTTCCGAAATAATCTCACTTACACTTGACTTACTAATTCCAGTTTCTTTTATTAGTCTGTAAAGCTGTCTTGTGTTCCCTATAGTCGCCGCCTTTTCCATCTCTTTTGCTTTCATTGCCCACCACTGCTCACGGTCGTTTCTTAGACTTTTTCTTAACCTAGATCTGATTTGTTGTCGCTCTTCATCATGTTCGGAACCTGATGGGACGAGTTTGCGAGAATCCATCAGTGTGATAGACTTTGAAGAAATCCAATGGTTCTTTGTAACCCTGTGGTTTAAGTCGCTAATAGATGTCACTGCTGTTTCCACAGCTGATTGTATGCCCTTCCAAGCAACATCTGGGTCAGCCTCGTCTTCACAACTACCTAAGTGTGACCTCAGTTGTTCCTGGAACCTACTTTTGGTTTTCTCGTTACTCAAATCAGTTCTAACGGGTCTTTTTAATGTGGCTTTTTTGCGTCCAGTGAGGCGCAAGCAGATGCGTGCCCGTATTAGGGCATGGTCGGAGTCCAAGCAGGTACTCCAGAATGAGCGACAATCTACCGACCCTCTCCAACGATGACTGATGGCAATATGGTCTATTTGAGTCCATCGTTGGTTTGGTGTAGGGGGTCGCCATGTTAGACGATGTCTCTCCTTATGCTTAAAATTTGTGTTTGCTAAAAATAAGCGATTGTCTGAGCATAGCTGCAGCAGACGATCACCATTATCTGTTCGCTGTGTCGGAATACTAAAATATCCACCTAAATGCCTTTCTGTTTGGTTTAAACTGCCTATCTGAGCATTAAAATCACCTGCTACGAGTACTATGTCTGAGCGTTTAGCTTTCTGAAGAAGTTCGGACAGCTTTCTGTAAAATTCATCTTTCACATCATCTGAGCTGCAGTCAGTGGGAGCGTAGGCAGAAACGACAAAAAGGCAACGACGTGTGTCCCTATCCTTCCGAGTTCTTACGTAGTCGTTCAGCCGAACAGCACATAGACGACTGTTGACGGGGATCCACTCTAGCAGTGCTTGTTCCGCCCTCATGCTTAGTGCTATGCCTACACCTGCCAGTCCACGAGAACTTGCCATCGGGCACCAGATACACGAAGGGTGTACCTCTTTGGCTCTCCGTTTTGCCGAGGTGAGGTCAAGTGAATGACCACACTGGAATCCTGTATGCGTGTTTCGGAGACACAGCACACGTCAATGGTAAGAGACTCTAGGGTTTTAGCCAAGGAAGCCTGCTGACCAATTTGACATAGGGTTCGTACGTTGAAGGCTCCAATGTGTAGTTTGGAGCGAGGTTTCAGTAGACCTGGGACAGTATTTTGCGCACTAGAATCGTTGGCTATGGTGACACTTGAGGTGGAAGCCGAGAGAGGCAATTTAAAGTTGAAAGTCGATGTAGGAGGAATAATAGGAATTGAAGAGGAAGGTTGATTATGAATACAGTGGTCTTGAGTGCTGTTAGAGGTATGAGGGCGGTTTTCACTTCCCGGTTGCCCACACCGAGGAAGGGTTGTTCTGGAGGTACCTGAAAAGGAATTTGGATTAAAGGTGGTCTTAGTGACCTGAGAGCGTGATCGCAGTGCCCAAGGGACAACTGCTTGAGGTCGGTCACACACGACCTTGTTATGGGTAATTTTTGTGTTAGCTCCGTATTTATTGAGACCTTACCGCCGGAGACGGATATCCGTGGGATAAGGCGAGGTGTGCATTTTTAGGGTCGACCTTTTCTAACCCCACCCCTCCTTGTGGGAAGGCAGCATCGCTGTCATGCTGGTTGTCTGAAGGAAACACCTTACTGCTGTCACACCTCTGTACAGTGAGCAGTACGACTTCGCCTTCGAACCTTGGGTTTGTTGCTTTTAGTCTTACCGCTCTTCAACCGACATGTCTGACATGGTAGGACCTTGAGGAACGGTTGTTCCAGCCAGTATAGCTCGTTTGCTTCATCACGATAGGCAAGCACGACCACCACGTCAAGGTAGCAACAACGGTCGGGATGGTCGATATATATATATATATATATATATATATATATATATATATATATATATATATTTAATGGTCCTCATAGCCCCCAAATGCCCTGTTATGGCCGAGGGTGGGGAGAGTTAGCTCTCCCTCTCGAAATGCTCTCACATGGCCACGCTTATACAGCCACTGACAAGTATGTTCTACTCATTGTCTTCTCGCGGTGGTGGTGTTGTTTAAGAAATTGAGAAGACGAAAAGCGAATGTCCGGAGCTTTAACCGGGTTGGTGGAGACGGGGAGTCCACCTAGGGGAGTTGGAAAACCCTGATTTCAAACCAGTGATGCACATGGGTTCCAGTTCTTTCTAAGAACTAATTCTTTCTTTCTGTACTATATCCTCACATGCAATCTTTACTTTATATATTACCACCATTGACTTAACCACTCCTACGAATCCGGGGTTCATCTTGCTGTGCTAATGCTGTATGGCAACTTGGACCGATGCATATATGTGCATTGCTCTACGTTTTAGCTGACTGAATGACTGATGGGCTCCAGTATGGCTTATGAACTGATTGTTGGTCACCGGCTACCATGGGACCGCATCTCCTGACGTTACTCCACTGTCTTCTGTATCACACCTTTAGGTTGAAGGCTCCGGGTGTGGCCTCCTGAAACAACCACCTGCTTCAGTTCGGGCACCCGGGAAATATCCCAGTCCTCACACAAATTGAATGATTTATGTGGCGCATATCTGTTTGGTGCCTCCTTTGTACTAATATTTATGTGTTCGAATAAATAAATGTTTATATAAAACAGTTCGCATATTTTGCCAAGATATTCTGTAATTTTGTATTAAAATACATTGGTTGTCCCCACCTGTTTTCGTTCACTACACTAATACTACTTCTACAAATAATAATAACTAAAAATAGTGGTAATGATGATAATGGTGGTAATGACTACTGCCACTATTGGTAACGATCGTAATAACAGTAATAATAATAATTTTTTCAATTGTGAGATTCCTCCGGTTGCGGCTGTTTATATAAATAATTTATGAATTCTGTTCAGGAAACATTTTCTCTATATAATTGTTTATTGCGTGAATAAAATTTATGGTATAAAAATTGAAATTTTACACTCAATTTTTTCAGGTATCATGTACAAATGCAGGTCTTTTACCAATCAGTCAAGAAGCCATGATTTTGGGTGAAACAGCTGTTTACGACCCGTTAATTGTTTTGAATAATCTTCAGCAAAATGGGGAAGAAGACTTAGACTCTCGTAAAGAGCGTCATTTTGATGCACAGAAAGCAGAAATATCTCGGATATTTTCGGAAAAATCTCCCAGTTGTATGGTTTTATTGGTTCGTAGTTATGGTCTCTTGGCATTGGGACAATCGATTGAGGAAGCATGGTTTATTGCATTTACATCCATGTTAGCGTGTGAAGCACAGGTCGGTTTGAAATAATATTGAGGGATTGTTAGAATCTCATCGCTTACTCTTTAGTATTTATCAACTTTTTTTGAAGTATTTATTCACACTTAGATTATATTTTAAAGTGATTTTTGTTCTACTGTTTATTATTCTTGCGATTATTTGGAATTATATAACCACATTACTCCACGAGTTACGGTACCCTTTTAATTCCTGCTTTTTTACTGATTTATAGAGATTTTTTGTGGTGTATTGTTCAATGTCATGATATTTTCTTTATGTTTGCACTGTTTGATGTATGCGTCTTTGTTGTTATAGTTACGTTTGGCGAGCATCAGTTTGGATGAATTGGTTATCCCTACCAAAGAAGCTCAAGAAGCCGCTTACTCCGTAGGACGTACTCCCTCTGCTGTTCAGTTGCGAGTTGGCGAAGTCACTGGTAGTTCAGGTTGGAGGCGTGGAGAACTTGAATTCGAGGCATTAATGCGTAGATTAGACTCTGCTGGATACCATACGGGTTATGTTTACCGATTAAGTCAAGTACGCCAGGGTTCAACTGCTGCATCGACTCTCCAGCGTCCGTCAGCAGATGTGCTGGATAATGCTTCCACTCAAAAATCTCGTGATGCCGCAGCCCATGTTCGTCGTGCAGCTAGTCTTGGTCGTGGTCTTCGTGGCCTCAAAGATGTAGAGATACCGCCTACAGTTTCATCTTTTGCAACTTCATACTACGGGGATGAGGAAAGTAGGTAAGTAGGAGACAGTACTTATTTTCTTCTATATTGTTTGTTAGCCATATCACCATAAAGATTTGTTGAATTCTTGTTTCAGAGCTACTGCTATTGCTGAAATGAAAGCCAAAACACTCTCACTTTCACGTGCACATTGGCTGAGTACACCAAATGCGTACCTTCGGGAAGAGATTGAAGAAGTGGGTACTCCGAATCCTAAAAAGATAACCCACTGGACAGAGGGGTCAGATATCAATAAAACACGCACCGGTGGAGTAGCTGTCCCGCTGATTGATCCCAATCAATTTGCATTGCAGGGTTCAGATCCACAGGAGTTTCAAAATCAACAGAAGAAGGTAATATTTCAAGTTAAAAAACATTGACAGGTTTATATACATATATTGTTCGGGAGCACTCAAAACAAGGTCATCTTAATTGCTGTTAGATGTTATAAGAGCGATGTTCAGCTCCTGTTTACTCTACTGTTAAAGGATGTTCCTTCTTAAGGGACTCTAATAGGAAACTGAACTGAAGATGATCATAGGGGTTCGAAAAGGTGACCTCAGAGCGTAAGCGTCAATCTCTTGATTCCGGTCACACGACCAGTTGGTGTTTGATGTTTTAGCTCCTTTTATTTTCAGGACTTACTACCGGCATTGTGAATTACTGATCCCATGTAGGTTATGCAGTTTTTAGCCCCGATATTTTCTAACCTCTCCCGTTGTGAAGAAAGAGGATCACTCCTAGTGGTCTAGTGAAAACACATTATTGTCTTGTCTTTTCACCACAGTACAGTCGTTAGTACAACTGTACCTTCGGTCCTGAAGTTTTCTACTTTTTATTATACCGCTCTTTAGCCAACTTGCTTGTATTGGTAGGACATAAAGAAGCGAGTATTTCAACCAATGTAGATCGATTGAGTAATCACTAGGGGAACCCAACCACCACATCAAAATAGTAGTTACAGTCTGGTCAGGAAGCCCTGAATATTCATGAAGTGAGACAAATTTAGTGGTTTAAATATGCTGTATTTGATGTGCATTGCCAAACACACATAAACTAGGACGAAATAACTTTACAATACTCCTTGTTTAACATTGGTTCTCTGATTGGTGTCATTTCTCAATAAACGTTACCTGCAAAATAAATAAAACCACTTCAGTTAATTTACAGTATTGTTACCTTAGTTTAAACAGACACTTAACAAGTTGTTATCAAGTTACGTACATAATAGATGTGCATTCGATGTGTAGTGATATTTTAAATTAAGTGTTATTTGTGAAATTGTTTGTAGAGAACATAATTTTGAAGCACTGCATCTAAAGATGGTATTATTTTTACCCATTATATCGTATTGGTTGTTCAGTTCATTTCTGGATCCACCGTTTCAGAAGCATAGAAGTACTCATCTTTGCTTTATCATTTAATGTGTTTGAAACTTGAAGTTTACAAATTGTTTGTCATATTATTCTAGGTGAAAGATAAATATTACAAGGATGTAAGGTCTGCTGGACCAAAATCTCGAATTTTACAAGGTATTGACTTAGAAGATGAGTCAGATGAAACTGATGGGGGGATCGCATCACCTAAGGTTGTCAGTCCGAAAGGCACACTACTTCGATTGGATCCTTCCAACCCTCCGTCTCTGGAGCCTGGACATGTTGTTGTGGTTGGGGCAGCTAGTAAAGGTATCATAAATCGTAATCAGAGACACAATGTTGGTGTTTACCAGTCTCTATACTCGCCAAATCCATTCGATAGGATGACAGACGAAGATCTTGAGCGCTACAAAGAAAATGTTGAACGCAAAGCTAAAGGTTTACCCTCATTAGAGGAGGAAGAGGCAAGAGCTCGCATAGAGGAAGCTCGGCAGGCTGTGGTGGTGGCACGAGAGGCGATGGAAGCAGCCTCTCGTATGGGTACAGAACAAAAATGTAAGCTTTTCCATTTGTTGAAAGTTATAATGTTTCTAAATTTTTTCGTAATTAGCACTGAGTCATTTCAAGTATTATGAGTTGTATTTTTTTGTATCTATCTCATTGAAATGGAGTAACTGGGAAGAATAATCAGAGGATTGTAATCTCATTTGATTTCTGCTTTTAATACACTGAATATAAGTCCATTGTAATATGTGAATTTCTAGCGCCATAAGTCACTTTAGTTGATTTCTATATACTCTTTGCTCGGTCACTTCATTTTTCCAGAATATCATAGAACCTTTAGTTTTAAGAAATTAGGGTAGGGAATAAATTACAACCAAATATTATGAAATGCCTTTTGTCAACGTAGTTTTTGATTGCTACTCTAGACAACATGTACATTTTGACTAACAATTTATTTGAATGAGTCTCCGATTTGATTTACTGACCGAAGATTACGCTAACTAAATTGATTACTGTTTCCGCCCAAGTGCAGTGTTGTTGTACAATCAACAATGATAAATATTTTGCTAGTTTTTCAGCATCCAAATATGTTTAGCCATAAGAATATTGACTCAATGTGTCACTGTCAACTTAATACTTCATATGTCCTGATCTTTTGATAAACATAAATAAACCTAGAAAACTTAAAGCTTGGAAATATTGTTGTTCTATAATACTTTCATCCCTTACAGGTTCCCGATAAATTTGTACTTATTATAACTGGTTAATTTCGATAATGATATTAGAAGACGAAGATTATCAGAACTATGTGATATATTAGCGCGATACATTTCGAATAATCTGGTCACACTGATTAGTCTATTGTGCAGTATAAAAGTACTGTTCATTATTGTCTGTGGTGTCATACATTTAGCGCAACTTAATCTTCTTCACTCAGTTCAAATGTTAGGATTTCCGATATTAGCGTGACAGATATTGTCATTTGTTCCACCAATCTAAACGAATTGCAATTGTGTTGTTATGAGGTGTTAATGTTGATCCTATTTTTGAATTGAGATCACAATTATTTTTATTTCGTACAGTTACACTACAAAATTACGGAGTATATGCTACATGAAGACAGTAAAAACTCACTAGACAGTGTTACCTGAATATTTATACCAGTAATTCAGTTAAGGTTTATACTGATAATCTTAACTGAATTTGATTTTGAAGCTCTCGATATTCTGAAAATTGGATAAAATTTTCTCTTTACTATTTTCATATCTTAGATAATGGAGAACCAAGTTTAGACGTAAGTCGTATTCATGCAGTTCGGTCAGATACCAGTGGAGCTGAAGCTAGCCATGATGATACTGAAAAAGAGGTTAGTTATGTTTATTAATTCTAAGGTGTTCATGATTTTGAGTAATAGTTAACAACAGTTGAACTTAGAAAGTATAAATACCAGGTTTATTTGTTCGATAAAAATCTAGAGAACCTAGTGCTTCGTCACCAGTAAGTATAAAGATACCCAAAATATACATCAAGCCTCAAAAGAAACTTCATTAGTTATTGATGGATTCTGATGATTCGTTTTTATTTTTCATCAATTTCTATAAGTCAGTTGCACTACAAATATGGTTTTAAACAATTATTACTAATATCATTGTAGTATTACTTCATGCATAATCGACTAATTTATCGACGAAAATCAAAATAATAGTCGGTCATTGGATAACTACGTGTTAACAACACAGACGTTGCTGTTAGGTATTGAAATCTTACATAAAATTCATAAGTTCAGATATCAGAAGTCCCTCTAATCCACAGTGTTACAAAGCCAGCAAAATGAAGATTCATAAACAAAATGTCCCAGTAAGATCTATGCAATGCTCAGTTTACCTCACCACGAGGTTGTCGGCTAATTAGAAAGTAGTATAGGACGTACTGACCAACGACTATGCAGATCTACTTGATATGAATTATTTAAGCTTAACAACAGATTGTATCACATAGATATCACTTGCAAGTATATTGTCCTCTTTGTCTTAACATTCCTATTCATTAGAGTGCACCGTCTCAAACACAATAACATTGTTGACCGAAATACTAATCCATTAACTTTATTAGGATCCGATTTCAAATGACTACTAGTTATGTACCCGAGAAATATGTACTTCTCTTTTGATAGTACGGTGCAAACGTAAAGGCGAGGATTGACAAATCAAATGTCTCATCCTTACATTTGAAGAGAGTATGGAACTCAAAACAACTGTCTCCAAGCCATCATCAAAGTCACAATATTCTATACGAGCGTCAAGATAGTCAGTTGTACTATACGGAGCTGAAACTTAGAGAACTACCAAAACCATTATTAAACAGGTACAAGTATTTATAAACAATTGTCTACACAACATACTCAATGTTCGTTGACCGGATACCATCAGCAACAGTGTACTGTGGGAGAGAACAAACAAGCTCCAATCTGAAGAGGAAATTAGAAAAAGACGTTGGATGTGGACAGGACATATACTGATGAAATCACTGATTTGAATCACATAGCAAACCGTAACATGGACTCATGAAGGAAAAAGGAATAGAGGAAAACCAAAGAACACAGTGTATGGAGAATTGTAATCAGACATGAAAATGATGAATATGAACTGTAAATAACTGGACAGTATTACCGATGATGTAGTTGGACGAAGAATGCTGGTGTGTGGTCTATTCTTCTTCAGGAAGGGTAACAGGCGTAATTAAGTATTATACCGTCAAACTGACAGGATAGAAATGAAACTATAGATACTGCCTTTGTAGTGAATTTTATTTGCCTATATGGTTTCTCAAGTCACATATTTTGAGTGTGGTTATAAATTTCATATATTTTTCTTTCTCATATCAGGCTAAGAAAGATGACAGTATATCAGAAAGGAAAAAGAAGCGTCGTTTCAAAATGCCTTCATTTGCACGAAAATCCAAGATTAAAGAATCGAAAGAAAAGAAATAGATAAAATTGACGATGATATTTGGTCTACTTTTTTATATATAAGTAGGCAATACATCAATGGCTTCAACTTTTTCAGCATTAGAAGCATGCGCCAAATTGAATTTAGTCTGAGATACTTTATTGTGTTTTTTTCAATTGCTTCACATCAGTGCGCTCAGCTTTATGTCTGTCTGGTTACTAATTTTTAACTACGTACGCCGTTATTGTTCGGGCTTACATCGAATATAATTCACCTCGCCTTAATTTTCCTGCAATGTCGAATATATAGATAAGATCTTGATTTAATCCTCACATTTCTACGTTCAATCCCTAATCTACTAACTTATGGCTTGTTGTGAAATTTCTTATTATTCATGCTGATCTTTCACCGTGTCTGTTTGTTTAATTTTAATTTTTCTTGCTTTGTTAGGAATTATGCATTCATTGTTCTTGCGAAGGAGTTAATAAAATCCTGATTTTGTCAATTGTTCGTTGTTACTCTTGTGTAGTTTTTATAAAATTATCTTGAAAATCGTATACTGAATCCACTATGGCTTTATTGATAATCTTTTATTTTCTCTACTAGTTTATTATTTGCATCTATAAACGTTCTTTTTTATTTATAAGTTTCAGTCTTGCTACATGAAGATTCTGATAGATTGTATTCTCCAGGTTATCCATACCGAAAACGTAAAAATATTCGGATACGATTCTCATCTTGATTATGTACTGGCTTGCTTCGATCTATCGTTTAGCAGTCAGTCAACTGCAAAGTAAAACCTGGCACATTTATATCATTTCAAGTTGCAACATTACATTACAAAATTACCAAAAGTCGTAGTAGAGTGAGCAGAACACCCGTGGGGACAGTCGAATGTATTTAACACAAAATTACAGGACTTGTTAATAAAATCTAACAATCATAAAGTAAACGCTTAATTTGCAAAATGTCCATCAATTGTCTCAAAATGACTCAGACTTCATTGTTCTTGCATCTTCATACAAATTGCATTCTGTTTCCATTCTTTACTGTTCGATCCTCTTGTCTCTCTGCTGCCAGACCTTCTGTTCACGACTAACATCATATACTACTTATGTCAATATAAGTAGCACACACCGCACTCGTTCCCCCTTTCAAGCAGTCATTCTTGCGGTGGTTCATGCTCGCCGTGTATGAATAGTAGAAAATATAGAGTATAGAAAGAAAACATTTTCTAAGGAGATTTCAGTATTCATAATTTGAGGGAAGGCTAAAAGTGAGTGCATCTATGCTATTTCTATCGATTCTGAGCCATATCATCCGATATCTCCAACCACTGATCGATAGAGATTTGTGCTGGTTACTACTTTGTTGATCCGTCTAATATTCACAGTTGTCTCGATATTCAAACTCATAACTGGCATGTTTTTATGCTAGTAATACATGGAGGAATCGTTCATCTGATAGGTTAACTTTTATTTCTTTCATACAAATTCATTTATTAACTTGAAATTACCAAGGACACTGATTGAAGCAGAATCACACGAATTCATTAGATTTCGTTATTTTCTCACCGACTGCTTACGACTAGTTATATTTCAAGATAAAGAATCGCAAATGGAAACCAGCATAATTATAGAAATAAAGTGTATCAGAAGTTAGTGTACAAATGTATCAGTATAGTGTAGTAAGAACGCTTATCTTAGAAATAAATCGAAATGTTAGGATTGAAATATTATATGTTAAGATTAGTTCCGAAATATTGACTAGCTTAGTATCAAAAGACCGCAGGGTGGTAAATAAGTGATTCTGTAATGAAATACACGGAGCGATATTAGTGATTGTTGAGAATAGGATGAGTTAGAGTCAGTTCTGTCCAAGTGTGTAGTGACACATTTATGCTCAGTGTCACTGGATAATCGTATGATCCGTCACTATTTGACCACTTTGATATCCACTCGCAATGAAACCTGGTTTCAGATTCTATCAGTGGATTAGATGTAGGCGTACTCTACTTTGTCAGAAGCTAGGCCAAAATACTTGTTTATTACTTCCTGATTTTCGGTGGTTTTTTCAAAATAGAACTAATCTCTTCAGCTAACCAAATGGACATTAGAGTGCTTTGATTAAAAATAGAACAACAAAAAGTGACTTAAAAAATCATGTAGACAGTGCCCATAGACACATTTCTATTCTGTCAATTTGACGATACATCGTATTATTGAAAGAAGTGGATATTCGGGTACATAACTAGTAGTCATTTGAAATCGGATCCTAATAAAGTTAATGGATTAGTATTTCGGTCAACAATGTTATTGTGTTTGAGACGGTGCACTCTAATGAATAGGAATGTTAAGACAAAGAGGACAATATACTTGCAAGTGATATCTATGTGATACAATCTGTTGTTAAGCTTAAATAATTCATATCAAGTAGATCTGCATAGTCGTTGGTCAGTACGTCCTATACTACTTTCTAATTAGCCGACAACCTCGTGGTGAGGTAAACTGAGCATTGCATAGATCTTACTGGGACATTTTGTTTATGAATCTTCGTTTTGCTGGCTTTGTAACATTGTGGAGTATAGGGACCTATGAATTCTATCTGCAGTTTCAATTTGTGGGCTTCGAAATTATCAGGGTCATCTCTACGATTTGGATTTCTTCAGCCTTCATTCTAATATACAGTTATATTTGTATAATATATATTTATGCTGTATTTATTCAATCAGTCAAGAGGATTCATCATCGTTTTACAGCAGATGTGCATGAATTTGGAAGCTATGGAAGATGCAATTGGAAATCTATTTCTATTTTATATGATAAGTCATAGTCTGAAATCTTTGTTTTTTTTTCTGTTTAACACTGATCCACAAAATATATGCCCAATAATGTAGGAAGTAATACCCATTCAGAAATTCTATATAATTGAGCATGATTTTTAAGAGTAGGGGATATTCATAGGTTACTTGTACTTGATTATATGTCTTCGAACCTTTACTCGTATTTTTTCGGGACCACTGAATGAACAGAGTTGGGGTATTGGATAAGGTATGGAGTGTACTAAATCGGCTGATAATGTAGTAAATTTTCGTCAACCGATGTGATTGGGACATCTTTTACGTATGTCCAACTACTGCCTATCTTGATGGACGATGTTTTTTGATGTAAGAGTAGGTTGGAAGACCATTTGGGGCGGCCAAATCAAGACTTATTATCAGTCCATATAGTCATTGACTATTGGACCGACCAAATATAGGTAGATGAAGACTACATGATTGGGGTCCGGTGATTATCATCACCAAAGGTTAGAGAAATTAGGTGACATGTCTCGAAATTGTACGCAGGTGCATTAACTCTTTTATGTTTCCCAAGTTCCCAGATCTCAAAATCATATCTTTAAACCTTTACTAATACCTAAACTTTTGTATTATAATAGTAATTATTATTACCGATATAGCTAGTACTACTGCTACTACTGGGTTGGTTTTGAAAATTTCATCTCACTAATGTTAATGTGGTATATAAACTTTGGCCGATGAATATGTGTTAAGTTTTATGTTTCATTATAACTGAGTGATTGATTGTATGGTGATAAGCTTCATATCAACTTAATTCACCATGTTCTTATATATTTATACAGCAATGTTGAACTAAGTCATCAATTCATTATTTATTCTCTCTATCTTTGTATTAACAAAATTTAACAAATTTAGGATGATTTATAGTTATAAAATTAAGTAGATAATTCTTTCAGGATCATCATTCGACAGTAAAATTCCATTCGTTTTAAATTCTCCGGAGCCATAGCCACCAAACACCTCAAGCCGAATTTATGTATCCAAAAAGAAAATGTTTCTTCACGATGACGACGTCATCCTTGCAACTTTTTTTCTCCATCTTATTTTAATTGTATCATTTCATCCAAATTCATAACTGTATATTTAATTGACTGATGTCATCTGACGGGATGTCCGGACAATGTAGAAGACCGTGAGGACCAGTTGAATAGCAACGGAAATGAGGAGATACAACGTGACGGTTGTCGAGATTAGTGAAAACCATTAGATCCAAGCTGGACAGAAAACATCAGCTTCGGGAAAGGTGCTGTTTACCCTAATCATGAAGACGAAAATACTTCGCACACAAAAAGAGTCCCACCGATTCTGTATAAAGAAGCACGAAATGCACTAATAGGATGAGAATCTCATGGATCCAGAATCATCGAAATATCCTTCAAAACAAAGAAGAGAATCACAATGAATATTATCCAATGTTATTCACCCACCAATGATAGCAATGACGACGATAAGGATCAGTCCTACCATAGGCTGCAATGGATCATAGCGATGTGTTTAGTAAATGACCTGACCATGTTGATGAGAGAGCTAATCACCAAAGTCGAACTGGACAACACCGTGTATGAAGATATCGTGATATGACATGGACTAATAGAAAGGAACCATAATGGAGAGAAGTTTGCAAATTTATGGTTATAGGCGACACAATATTCCCTCATAAACGCATACACAAAGTTATATTGGTCTCATCGGATCACACTACAGAGAAGCAGATGGATCATATCTGTATGACTGAAACATTCAGAAGGTCAATGGATGTCGTGATAACTAGAGAAAGAGCCGATATAAATTGAGATAACCATCTGATGGTGGTCATGATGAAACTGATGGGAAAGAAGGACTGGATGACTGGAGAAGCGGCAGATACAAGTATTTATAAACAATTGTCTACACAAGATACTCAATGTTCGTTGACCGGATACCATCAGCAACAGTGTACTGTGGGAGAGAACAAACAAGCTCCAATCTGAAGAGGAAATTAGAAAAAGACGTTGGATGTGGACAGGACATATACTGATGAAATCACTGATTTGAATCACATAGCAAACCGTAACATGGACTCATGAAGGAAAAAGGAATAGAGGAAAACCAAAGAACACAGTGTATGGAGAATTGTAATCAGACATGAAAATGATGAATATGAACTGTAAATAACTGGACAGTATT